GAATCAAAATCTGATGAACCAAAAGATGCACAAAATCAGTTATATTTGAACTTGAAAACAGAGAATAGTAAAAGACAATATTATTCAAATTTTGACCCAAAATGAACTTCTTCTCCGACAAAATACAAATAATCAAATTTGAATCAAATCTTGAAAAAAAAATTGGATCAAATTTTGATGGATATATTGACTGCAGCAGTGAGATGCAGATTGTCTTCTGAGTGTTGGATTAGCCATAAGCTGCAAATGTATTATCAAATCTAAAAATGTTTCAATTTTCATTATTTTCTAAGGAAATATTTCCTGCAGCAATGCAGTGTTCATGACTCAAACTGTGTTCTGGGTGGTGGATTTACTTTTAGCCGTACTTCGATCTTAAAATAGGTTCTTCTCGAGGAAATTATATTTTCGAAATTTAAATTAAATGTGAAATAGTGTCATTTAAATTCAAGCTTTGAATTTAATTGAGTGAAAATTGAGGTTTGAGTATTGAAACAATGTGCATCATTCATGGATTTAAAAGTGTAAAATCGAGCAGGTTCTGTGCAAACATTGTGTTCTCGATTAACTTAGGTCTCCACGTTCTTTTTTGTTATTAACATGTAAATTAAATCGTATTTGATGTATTTGTTTTAAATTGTTTTCCTCTTGAGCAAATTCCAAAGTTTACCAGTAACTCTCCATTCTCTTGTTTTAACTGGCCATTCTTTTTTGGGAAAAACTTTCCATTCTTAAAAAAGGAATGGACAGTTTTCCAAAACGCATGAACACTTACAGGTAACTTAATGGATTGTTTGAGGAGTTAGCTCAACATTACGCCAAAGAATGGACAACACAACCAAAAGGTTTACGTCACAATCATGTTTTAATAATTGAGAACACCAAAATGCAAACTTAAAGATATTAAATGTGAAATTTGAAGATGTTAATTCTTATGTTTCGACATTTGCAAGAAACAGATTCTTGATTGTTCAAAACAACAGGATTTGAAGGATTTTAAGCTTTTTTGTGAAATTGGAAGATTATTTCTGATATTATTTTTTTATTATTTTCAACTGTTCACAGAAAAAAAGGCCACAAATTGCCTAACTTAATAACAAGTTTACATCACAGTATCTGTAGAAAATAGCTGAGCGGAATAGTTTAAGGCAGAAAAATGGATGTTCAACCAAGTAAAAAAGCTCAAGGATGTGTATAAGGAAATGCATGCATCTGATTCTTCTTTGGTGTCCCCAAGACTCTCTGAATGTTCCGTATATCAATCAATGTGAAATTAATGGTAACGAACGGTAAATTTAAGAAATCTAAGATTGGTGCCACGGATTCTTCTACATTTCTTGTGAGACAATCAGGTCACCGTGATTTTTTCATGCCAATTGCAGTAGGATTATTTTCTGAAATATCTATAATCTACGCTGATTATTTCCTATCTTATTATATTGTGTGATTTATCCAATTTTTTCAGTGATTTTTATTTATCTACATCGCACTTTGTTTTCATTTCAATGTCACCCGTGGCTCTCCATAAGTTGAATCGTATAACACACCTACAGGTAACTTTTTTGGAATGACTGCAGGACAATAAGACACTTACTAGACCAGCTTTAACAAAAGATGACGTCACAAGTTTTTGTAAATACTCATATTTACAAGAACGCTCGTAAATTACAGATATACAATTTTCTGGACATTATTGCTATGTGATTTAAAAGAAAACAACGACTAATTGATCTATTTATAGAAGGATTTCATCCATTAAGACCTACCTGTCCTTAATATTGTCAGCCTGAATAGAGAACAATGATACACAACTCTATTGTTCTGAAACATTAAATAGGATATGTGCAATAGCATGTGAAGGAATGATAAGGCCACACATCCTATTTTTCTTCACTCATTAAATGAACTCTACACATCCTATTTACTGGACTCATTACATGCAGATAAATATCTAAAGCTTCGCACAGTATCTTGTCATAATGAAATAAGTGTAAATATCTGATTGATTGATTGATTGAATGATTGTTGTTTAAGTCCCGTTGGACATTTTTCACCCATGCACTCAAATGCACAGATGTCACTAGTCATGTGTCCCCAAACAAAGATTGGGAACATATTGTTTTTACCTTGTGTCTTACTATTGATATTATTTTTCTTCCTGGGTACTTTTTGTCCTCGAGTGATCTCGGAAACTACTCATCCGATTGAATTGAAATATTTTTAGAGTTAATAGGCATGTTATATAGATGTGCGGAAAGAAGGTAATTTTGCGCACACATGCATGCAATAAGTGAAATAACCAATATACTTGATATAGCTATAACTTTTATATTTTTTATGAAATGCTTGATACTCAGAATATAAAGATATATTAATCGGGTTGACAAGAGGATATTGTCATCATTGCACAGGCATGCACGTGCGATCGTGTGTAACATAAAAGAAAAAATATATTTGACAGACTAATTCGAGGAAGCTTACAGGGAATAAGGCACACAAAGGGACATAGGGAGCGTTTGGGATCTATATCCGTTATATATCTATAACGTTCTCCGTTAGAATGGAAACTACTTTTATGTAGAGTATCAACATTTTGTGCTATGCATGACGCTTACGTCTGCAGCTGTGATAATTCTTTATCGTGCCAGCGCCTACCCTAGGTTTTAACAATCTAATCTGAAAGTTCCGTGACATTTATTTTGAACTTGGCAAAGGAAAGGTTACAACAAATCATAAACGCCTTAGGTTTGACGCGGGGCCTGGATCGAAAATAGAACACGGACCTCATTTGAAGTGTTGAATTTTTGTTATTATCGTCTGCGTTGACGTGTAAATTAATTACTTTAAATGCAACTGGTTTTATGTAATATTAATTATTTTAATAAATATATTTTGTAAAATGAACATTTTAAGATTTTAATATGAAATTCATCTTCAATGTCATTGGATGAACAAAGCTTTGCTGACTGACGTTTTTCATACTAATTGTTAGGCTAATATTTATACACTGAACTGTCTACGGATTTTTTCCGTTTTTTCCCCCGATCTTGACAAGGAGCACACGGCGGGTTTGTCCGGTCGGCAGGGGATGCTCACTCATCCATGGCACCTGATCCCACCTCTAAATTTTGAGGTCCATGTTTGCTCTGCTCCAAATTTGTATCGTTTCATTGGACTTTCGAGATTTAATGCTGTTCATTATCTTCATATTCAACATCTTCTACATGAGAACACGAGACTTCTTGTCGTAACCTTTCCGACAATGTTTTCATCAGTTAATAATTCTTTCTTCCATTCATATGTCTACCCAGTGAACTCGAAACATCTATTTTAGATTTGGATATGTTACCGACTATTGACTTTAATGGTCAATTAAGAAGAAAACTGTTTGACAAACGAGATGACTTCAGCTTTTTCATCGTCAACTTTTCTTATTTATGTACTAATATTCCCCTATCACCTGGTGTTTATGTCTCCCAACTTATTTGGTATTTAAGAGCAAGTACGATCAATTTTTAAATTTTTTAAGCCTAGGCTGGCTACAAACAAATAAAATTATGTTACAGGAATTACAACAACCTCGTTTAAAGTCAACATTTTGAAATTCCATGATCGTTACAGGGACTTTGTTTGCAAATGCAACCTTTCAATGAGTCATATTCTGACTAACATATTTCATATACCCATTGTTAGTCCGTTGATTTTATAGTAAGTTTGACTACGGGTCATTCCGTCTACCCGATTAATACTAAACTTTTATGTCGGATGTGACCCGTCAATCAATAGGGGATGCTTACTCCACCTAGGTACCTGATCCCACCTCTGGAATTTCCAAGGGCCCGAGTTTTATGCGCTTTTCACAAATTTTTATTGGAATGATTCGTCTTCTAACGCAACTTGTAAATCACATACTTTATAGCTTGATTAAAGACATTAAATTCACATTTGACACATCTGTTTCATATCAGGATATTTTACTAGAAAAAGACGTACATGGTTATCTAACAACCAAGCTTTATGATAAACGTGATGACTTTATCATTTCAATCTTCAACTCAACTTCTCTTACTTAGGCAGCAATATACCCTTATCACCTGCATATGGGGTGTATATTTCTCTGTTGATTCGATACGCAAGAGCATGCTCTACGTACGAACAATTTCTAAAACGAGGAAAGTTATTTACAAACAAGTTGATGAAACAAGAATATCAACAATCTCGTTTGAATACAATATATCATTAAGTCATATGCTGACTGACGTTTTTCATACTAATTGTTAGACCATTATGTACACACTGAATTGTCGACGGATTTTTCCGTTATTTCCCGATCATGACAAGGAGTTTTGAAACGTAACGTGTCAAATATTACCATCTTTTATATTTGCTTTTTAGTTGGAACATGGAATTGTGTGTTCCAGGCGTTAATCATCCTGAAGTTACAATATCTTGTCCACATGCTGTTCCTTCTTTTATATTTTCAATAATGAACATTAAAGTGTATTTAAATTTGCTCTGAAGATATTACTTCTTATACAGGATTACAGTTTTATATATTTCAAAGCCTAAAAAAAGTTATCAAATGAAGCTGAAAGATCCTTCAAAGACCATAAGGATTCACTGAAAGGTCTTCAGGACTTCTGACATCTACAAATACACATGTGTATCTTTGTAAATATGACACTTAATTAAAGAGCGATACTATCAATATAAAATTCTACAGTCTTATTAAATGCCAAATTTGTAGAATTCTACTTTAAACATATTTTATTAAATAAATCGAATTAGGAAACAGGTAAAACCTACAGCTGTCCATTTTTGTATGTGTAGTATGGTTAATCATCATAACTTAGTAAAAAAAAAATTGTGAGGTTAACACGTTACATTGATAGTACCCTCTTAAATAGGACTCAATTATTTATATGTCAATTTGTAAAGAACCTTCTGGCATTGACGTACCTAAGCCATTTATTTTAATTGAAGGATGCATAACACAAACAAAAAGTGGATTGATATATATTTTGACTGATATTGAATAAAAATGATATTAAGAAAATAAATAAATGAAACATAAAGAAATTGTTAATAATCCTTGGTGCTGAAATATGCGACTTTGTTCAGTTTTCTATGTATTCTATAACAAACTTTTGCACACATTTTTAACATTATTAAAAAATCTTTTTACAATTAAGGATACACCAAAGGCTTTTTTCAAGATTTTCAACAATTTTGAGATTTTAGGCTAAGAAAAAGAAGTTTATCACTGCTTTATAATGCATTTAAAATTTTTGGTAATTATGAAATGGTTTTTTAATTATTGAACAATAATAAAACATAAACACTTCCACATGAGAATATTCCGTTATTGAAGCTTCTGATTTGATCTGTGACTGCCTGCTCATGTAAGACGCAATAAATCACCGTGACCACTTGGGAATTCTTCACTAGCCACGAAGAGGTTATCAGTAATTAAACTACAGGGACTCTAGATTTAGAGAAGGAGATCTAACAGATCACTGATGACCATAAAAAAGGAGGTGGATCTTAGCTCTTGCCATTTTGCCGGGAAATCTTTCTGATTCAGAATTGAACCTATTTTACTCAATTAAAAGCATCTAAATACAGAAAAGAACCTCCCATTCTTGTGAATATGCATGGGAAATATGACTAAGTGACAGGTATCCAAAGCTGAATCTCCAAGGTGTCATATATTCCTTAAGCTTTGGCAGATTTTTTTTTTTGTGTAATGGGTTTTTGCCCTCTACTGTAAAGTAAGATCAGACAGTTTGTGGTATTATTTCAAAGGATTCAGCTCCCTTATTTATCGACCAATTTCTCTGAAAATTGGATGGGTTGCTTCTCAAATGTGTGTTCACAAAACTGTATCTCAGATTTTTGATACCTGTCTTAGTTTTGGAATTATTGAGGGAAATGTTAATATAGGCTAATAAATTGCTAGCATTGAAGGGCAAATGGTTGTAACTTTTGAGTCGGAAGATTTATCAAAAATCTGAGATACAGTTTTTAAGTTCAATCTTTAATCTACGTTGAGGAAAAATTACCACTTTAAGGGGTTAAATACAAAAAAGTTTATTTATAGAATATTTATGCACTAAAATTTACATTAATATTTAAATAATTTTTTAATAAGTTATTGATTAAAGTTCAAATTAGGACAATTAAATAGTAAATTTAACAAGCTTTCAAATGATATATACTTTTATTATGTTATCTTTGATAATAAAAGAATTACATGCAAATTAAATTCTGGTATTTGGAAACCTTTGGTGTATCCTTAACCTGGCTGACATCCTGCTTGAATACCTATATGAATATAAATTTATGTGAGATATTGCTGATTACTGACAAAAAATGAGTTTGTGAAACACTGATGCCCTGTATTCAACTCATGGCGAAGGTTGAAGTTTCTCAAATGCAAGTCAACCTCCAAGATGAAGGTCAAGAGATAAAAAAAATATATATATTGGTACCCAAAGAAAGGTCACAAGAACTACACACGTGGAATAAGAAAGCCCTAGTACCAACCGTTCAAAAGTAATGGTCAAGATTAAAGTAGGTCAAATTCCAAGGTCAAGGTCAAAAATTGGTACCAAAGAGAAGGTCTTGGCCCATTAATACACATGCAAAATATTAAAGTCATAGCATCAGCTGTTCAAATGTTATGGCAAAGGTTAAAGTTTCTCAGAAGTAGGACAAACTCCAAGGTCAAAGGGACATAATTGTTGAAACTCAAGGTAAGGAATGCATAAGTGAAATAAGAGAGCCCTAGCAGGAACCGGTCAAAAGTTATGACCAAGATTAACGTTTTTCAAAAGTAGATCAAACTCAAAGGTCAAGGTCAAAGGGTCAAAATTAGTGGTACTCAAGGGAAGGTCTTGTTACAAGAAATACACCTGTGAAATATAAAAGCTCTAGCCCTAGCCGTTCAAAAGTTATTGTCATGTTTAAGTTTTTCAAAAGTAGTCAAACTCCAAGGTCAAAAGTCAAAATTAATGGTTCCCAAAGGAAAGGTCTTGTCACAGGGAATACACCTGTGGCATGTGAAAGCCCTAACCCTTACCATTCAAAAACTATGGCCAAGGCTAGAGATTTTCAAAATTCTGTCAAACTCCAAGGTTAAAGTCAAAAGGTCAAAAATATTTGTACCCAAGGAAAGGTCTTTCCAAAAGAAATATACAATTGAAGCACATAATCCCTAGCTTCAACCATTAAAAAGTACTAAGGTTAGAGTTTGGTAAAATTTTGCTAAAATGGGTCAAAATCCAAGGTCAAGATCAAGAGGCCTAATATATTGTTACCCAAAGAAAGGTCTTGTCACAAGGAATACACCTGAAAAATATGAGAGTCATAGTTCCAACCAATCAAAAGAGAAATAGATTAACAGACAAACAGACAGCCGGACGGATATAGCTTAAACTATATATATGCCCCCAATTCTTCGATTACGGGGTATAAAAAGTTTATTTTATTTATCCTTAAAGTTCAAAGTTTTAATAGAATGATATTAGCTTTCAGTTTTTTTAGGCTTAGAAAGAAAATTTCAGACACCTCTTTGTTACAAAAAGGATCAATTACGTTACAAACATAAATGACATCGTTATCCACTCAAATTCTCTATCTATGAGAGCTTTCTTTTGCTTAAATGTTATTTGGATTAATATGTACAAAATATTACTTTCATAATATAGTTTTATATAACAATATTCCCGAATTCTCACTGTACTCTCTTTTTTAAGCACACTTTATAAGGGGTGGTGATGTGTGCCCCTTTATATGTTCCCTCTAGGGATGGAAGGGGAGTATCTGCCTCGTTTTCAATGTCAAAATTCTGAACTAAGGCAGTGATGAGAAGAAACATTTCAATTTCTGCCAATCGCTGACCCAGACAGTTTCTTGGTCCTGAAAAAGAAGTCAATGAATAAAAGATTTCCATGTAAACGAAAAAAATGACATTAGGTAACATTTCTCTTCATATACCGACTATCATACCCCTCGATACTTTGTACAGTAATTCTTTAAAAAGTATTATTTTATTTTCATATCTCATAATCTTTCTGATCTAGAAATGCTTGCGTGAATCAGTCACATTACGGAATTCATTATACTTAAATTTCACTTGTTTAAGCTCTAGATTGAAAGACATTTTAGTAATACAAACACAATCTTTTAAGCTTACTTCTGCTGGACAATGGAAAATAGCCCACTAATAACAATAGAAAATTAATGGCTATTTAATTACAATAACAGAAAATCACGTATGAAGCAGATTATCTTTCGTGTATCTTAAACTTCCCTAGCATTACTTACTGTAGATCGACATTGGTTGTAACGATAATGGTGATGATTTGATTTTGATTCTGACTATTTTTCTTGTTTTAATGGGAATGCTGTATTTAAAATAATCGACTGGTGTGTATTCGGCCATCCTTAGGGAAAAAAATAACATTTCCAAATCCATCGCGCTTGCATTGTATTCCCAACACATTTAGAACTATTCTCTGTGACCACTTAATTTTCTTTGCCAGGCATATGGTCATCGATTATTACATAACTTTGCCCTTATGTAAGGGTTAATGTAGGAGAAGCGCTCCATTCCTTAAAAGTAATGGAGCCGAGGTCCCGAAGAGGCCGAGGCCCATTCCTTTTAAGGAATGGAGCGCTACGAGTATATTAACCGGCGAATAATCCACCTTTTTTAAATGTTTGTAATTATTTGTTAATACATAATAAAGAATATTTATAAGATAGACTGTAAATATACATTAAACATACTAGTAGTATTTATTAATATATAGAGAAAAAGTAAGGCTAAAAAAGTGTACTGAAGTTATTTAAATTCACTGTCATTCAACAGTTTCGAGAGATGAGTGAGATGATTACCTGACTCCGAAAGTGAAGGTACCGGGTTCAATTCTCAACAGTGCCACATTTATTTTCTTTATGTGAAAGTAAAATTGTTAAAATTTTCTAAGTTCTTTCCTCGGTAGAGGTACGGGAAGGAGAATATGAACTTAGAAAATTCTGTTTTCAATGTAATTTGCAACTCTCCATTCCTACAAAAATAATGGAGCGCTCATCAGACAAAAGAGTGACGTCACAGGTGGATTTTACTACAATTTGACACCAGAAAGATATATCAAATAAAACTTGGTTGCTATATGTCTTGGTTACTTTGGTATCAGAGAGAAAAGATTGAATAATTGAGATTTTCAGCTACTTCGAATCTTAATTTGGCGTTAATAAATACTAAAAAATCAAACAAACCACTCTCACAAGAACATAGAACGTAACACCTTGTTGCCACTTATACTATAAAGAAACTATTTAGAATGTAAGTGGTAACCAGTGGTACATTTGAAATACATTTTTAAACTGCTCAATATTCGCTAAGATAGGTGTAATATGATCAAACTCAATCGAAAACTCAAGACAAAAAAAAGTATTTGACCTTGAGTAATTAGGTATTGGCAGCATTATTCGAAAACTAACTTTCATGGTTGCCTGGTAACACAGTGTAGCCATACAAAATTTGTTGCTAAGATTTGGTTTATGCTACTTTCTTGAGGAATAACATGGAAATTCTAGACCAGTGCCATATATCTTTGTTACTTTCTTGAGGAATAACATGGAAATTCTAGACCAGTGCGATATATCTTTGCTACTCTCTGAATTTAGTTACCTTTTACTCAAGAAACATATTACTTGACTCACCTTGAATTGTACTTATCTGATAAAACTAATGTTGAATATCATATATTGATAAAGTTCAATGAAGAAAATAGCACTGTTGCTATGGCTACCAAGAAGGGAAAATGTTCCATTTTTTTTAACTTTATATCAATATTTAACGCTATATGGCAGCTTCTTCCATCTAGTTAGAGATTGTATGATAGTCAAAATTGAGTCAGGTTAGTTATTCATAAATGTCAATCATAAAAGTTTCGGGAATCTATACAAACGGATAAGTATCCATGGAAACAAAATATTTTACAGCTTTATATATAAATATTTTGTCCGCTAATTTCCATAGCAACGCTGTATTTTAAGAATTTAATTTGAATTTGTTTGAAATGTGAAAATTAGGACCACGCCAATGCCTTTCAATGCTTTTCAAAATTGATCACCAGTTGTATGGATATGTGCTTTTTAGAAAAAATAGGATCAGATTCAAACATACAGATAGTAAATTTGAAATTCCTTTGCAGTATTAAAAACATTGCAACCATTGCCAACCAATATGAAATATAACATTTCATCCTTAGTATGTGTTACTAGGATCTTTCTTATATTCTATTATTTGGCTACATTTCAACCTATAATTGCCTTTATTCTTGGGTGTATAACTTTTATAAAAATGGATGAATAAAATTATTACTCATGCATACTTTGTTTCAAAAGTAATGTATGTAATAGTTGATTTACCAAATATGTTTATCATCCGTTATCGCTGCGAATCTGACTTTAAAACTTACGAAATGTTTTTAATATACAATTCTACATATATTAAGATAAACATTGCTTGTTACTTCCCAGACACTGTAAGACATACGGTCTTGAACTTTTGGAACCCGACATTGCCACTTGTTTGCATTGCTGCAAACGTTAACAATTGGACTCTAAACATGTTAAAACTTTGCTATTTTTCAAACTTTAAGGCATATTGCCATGGTGACCATGATATATAACAACCAAGTCTTGCCTGATTTGAGCTTACGGTATCAAAGACTTTCATCATACGGAGTTTGGAGAAATTCTGAGACTATGCCTGGCACAGTTCCTATACAAAATTTCAAATTATTACAGAGAATGGCTTTTAACATCATCATTTTGCCTGTGCATCTCCCTGTTACTGGTGGGCCAGTGAGCTATTTCGATTACATTGCTAAAGCTAACAAAGATAAAAGTTTCCTTCAGTACGAAAAAAAGAGTCGTTTTATTTATTCTCACTAAAGCAAATCTATCTTTTAGCGTTGTTTTATATGAAACAACATTATTACAAGAACCATTTTAAAAAAAAATCATCACAACATATTCGGAAATACTATGCAATAGTGGAAAATGCATACTACAAACCCATTGAGAAAGAAGTGTTGACTTTCTCAAAACCAAATACTTGACCATCTTCTTTGATGAAGCGATCCGGATTAAATGTCTCTGGTTCTTTAAAAATAGATGAATCCATGTTGACCGTACAGAGGGCTGGCAGTATCCAGGAGTCTTTTTGTAAGTTGTAGCCGTTTATCAATAAATCGGATGTAAGGACATGAGCCGGGGTAACACAGATTACAGACGCTGTTCGGAGTACCTCGTACATCACCGCCTGACAGAAGGGAAGACGTTGTTTATCTGCCATGGTAGGAGAGCGGTTGTTTCCGACATTTTTCTCAATTTCTTTCTGCATGCGAGAGACAACTTCAGGATAGTGCATCAGGTATAACGCCGACCATTGAAGAGCCTGAATAACACCGATGCCACCAAAGAGAAATCCGTATCCCATCAAAAGTAAGTCCCGATCTGTAAAAACAAATCCTTACAAAACTCATCTGAAACATGTCTCTCACGCACACACAATTGCACAAGAACATACAATATATATATATATATATATATATATATATATATATATATATATATATATATATATATATATATATATATATATATATATATATATATTAGACTTTGACCCGTGCTTGCACGGGTTGACATTGTTATGAATGCATCCATGTGCATATCGGACATTTACCAAGAGTATCCTAAGTAGGAAAGAATGAACTTGAAAGTACTTCTTGCTGCAATAATGAAGCCTTTTCAAGGGGGGGGGGGATGGGGGGGGGGGGTTACAACTCTTTTTGGATCATACAATATCATTTCCATTTTTTAATTGAAATCATACAATGTAATCAGAAACATTTTAAAATAAATGTTTTTGATGTAATTATTCAAAAAAAATTTTTTTTTCAAAATATTTAGTAAAGTTTGAGTTTACCAAACTTTAAAGTTTACTGACCTTGACCGATTTTATTTTGGGACAGCCAATGAGAATTTGGGAGCGGATCTTGAACTGAATATGGGAATTTTTCTTACTTCATACGTAAATAATGCAGCAAAAATAAAATACATACCTCATAAACATTTATATATCTGTTTAGTGATAACAAAAGTTAATTTTCTGCAGTATTAAACGTTTTCATTCAAAAGTCATTACATCACATGAGAACTGTCATGGCTGCTGAAGAAGACAACTTGTTTTCACTCTGGTGTATTTTTTCTTTTGGCGATTTAATTAAACCTTAGTTTGTTTGCTACGATTAAATATAATTTATTTCATCAATGAGTAAATATTCCTTATGATCTTTTTGTCCCACCTCATAGTTTTGAGATTTACTATGCATGGATTATATTTTACAAATCATAGGCGTCGGAACCGGGGGGGGGGGTCTAGGGGGCTTAGCCCCCCCCCCCCCCCCGCCTTTTTGGCAAAGATAGACATAGTTTAGGTATTGAAAATTGGGGCTTACTTTTTTCGTTGGTTTAGCCCCTCCAACTTTCATTTATAGCCACCCCACTTTCAATTTGCTTCCGACGCCTCTGCAAATGATCGATATTTTAGCAGCATTGATAGAATGAACTGTACGGGCCGCATGGGCTGACTTCAGACTACCTATTAAGCGTAGTTACCACGACAACCTTTACATATTTAGAAGAACAGACTGTCCCTTCTATACAACGTCAGGGTCAGAGGTCATGTATTTACATAACAAAGCTATAAGCCTACAATAATGCTATTAATTTCACTACACTCTCGTAAGAAATAAAATGTGAATTTTTTTGCATGGAATCAAATATTTCTTTGCCCTTAGTTTATGTTTCATATTTACCGCTTATAAATCTCAGCAGTGAAGGTAATAGTAAACTTGGCGAACAAATTCAAGTTGCAATCATTTAGACACATTTCAAATTGAAAATATCGGTTATATTGACGTTATTTGATTATTTCGATTTGTTTCAAAGTTAAGAAATGAAAATAATGTTATTGTAATTTTTGGCGGAAAAAGAATGTCTACTTCACTAAAATGTGATTCTAGCTGGAGTTGGAGTTGTAACCCCCCCCCCCTTCCCCTCAAAAAAGCATAAAAGAAAGGAAGGATAAAATAAAATCGGGTAGTTACTTTAATATTGCTCCTACGATCATGAGCTTTTTGCCTCCGTTGAGATGGCCAGAGACGTAAATAACATATAATAAATGTGTCTCCGAGATGACGAATGATTACCCACGTGGCCACAATATCACATTTGCATGGATAAACTCAGAAACGATAATACAAATGCGTGTAAATTTTCATTGGAAATTTGCTATATATTCTGTTCATATATATTTATGATTTCTTATTAGAGAAATTATAAAATTACAAATATATATCTACTTAGTACTTTTGTCTTCTCTGATTTGAACACCGTGATTTAGCGTGAATGTAATTCGCACACGCAAGATTGTAAAATCCAGATGATTTCCGGAATTTTTTGAGGAATTTTCGTTGATTATTAATTAGCGAAGCTTAATTGAGAAAAAATAAAAACAAATTGGTAATCTTCAAGTACCAATGATGTTTGAAATATATAAAACAATAGACAGTACTCTTCCGATTTATCGGTATTATAGGCCAAAAATTCGAGTCTATTATTTTAATATAGTAGTATATATATATATATATATATATATATATATATATATATATATATATATATATATATATATATATATATATATATATATATAAAATCATCAATGAAAAAGAAAATGCACAGTTTCGAAATTTCATTAAACACAAGCGCTTTCTAGATTTCATATGTTCACCTGAAGACGGATTATGAAATCCATAAAAAGCTTGTGTTGAATGAAATTTGGAAACTGTGCATTTTCTTTTTCTTTTATTATTTTTACTGTGTGTCATTTTTCTTTTATTATTATTTTTACTGTGTGACATCATATATATATATGCGTGTATATATATATATATATATATATATATATATATATATATATATATATATATATATATATATATATATATATATTCCATTCATATGTCGACTTGATATATTCAGGTGAACTTGAAAAAAAAGACACCAAAGAATCTGCCACATCTGTTTTATACTTGAGTGTTTTACTGAATAAAGACAATAAGGAATAACTTACAGCTGTGTGACAAACGAGATGACTTCAGCTTTTCTATCGTCAAGGACGGCTACTGACATATAATATAAGTTGAGGTTACAGGTATTTCAACAACCTCGTTTAAAGTCAACGGACAAGATAGGCTAAAACCCGTTGTCACCCCTGCCACAAAATGAGTATTGGTTCTAAGTTATTGGGTACACAGAGGTCACAGTAAGGTCAGAAAATATGACAATTTCCGAATTTTCTCATTTTTATGCAATTTTTCATCTATTTTACAGCACATTTTGTTTCAGAAAACATAAAGCACAAGCTTGCCTATCCACCAAATTTACATATTTCATACACTAGTATCAGATGTATCTTGTGTATGAAAATTTCAGATTGGCAAGCTTGTGCTCTATGTTTCCCGAAGTGAAAAGTATCTCAAATTTGACAAAATTTCATCAGAATTGAGAAAAATCGGGAACATGTCCTATTTCTGCACCCTCTTTTGGCCTCCGTGTAAGCTTTGAATCAAAATTAGTGTTGGTTTTAAAAAAGGCCTCAGTTTAAGTTCTTAATTACAAATTATCACAGTTTTAACTGTGTTCTGATTTTTACATCAAATAAGGGACCAGATTCGGTCGTTACCATACCTTGCATTTTGTAAATTCTATGGTCGTTATAATGACCTTGTTTGCAAATATAGCCCTTCAATGGGTCGTCTTTGGGCTGAAGTGTTTCATCATAGACCTTTGCTTTTATACTAAATTTGACTACAATATCTTCCGTCTACCTGATCAATACACAGGGCTCACGGTGCCATGACCGGTCGATAGGGGGTGATTCCTCCTCCCAGGCACCTGATCTCGCCTGTGGAGTTTCCAGGGGTCCAGGTTTTATACACTTTTTTTTTTTTACAGATTTGCATTGTTTATAGAATTTTAGATCGATCACTGTTTGTTATTTTAATTTTTTCACTAAATATGGAGGCCTCACAGAGATTGTAAGCAGTAGACAGGGGATGATTACTCCTCCTAGGCACCTGATTCCATCTCCTGTATTTGAAGTGATTTGTTTTGTTTTGGGTTTTTTTTCAGTGTTTATGATTCTTACTGTTTTTACAGGATTTATGATATTGATCGCTATCTTCACGTTTTTCATTCAGAAAACACAAACAATAAAATACCTTTGAAGCCAGCTAGATCCTCATTGTCTTTCTTTCTCCGTTCTTGTTCTTTAAAAAAACTATAAATAAAGTCGGTAGAATTTGGTTTTTCTGGAATTTTCTTGTGCTCATCCACCATTTTCTGTAGTATCTTTAGAATCTCGTTGATAAGATATCGCTGACGTCTTACTTTAAACCAATCTCCTGGAAGATATTTCATCCATTCAAAGAAAGACAGGAGACCTTGATCAGGAACGTTCAGTGTTGCTTCATAAACCAATTCCACAAGCCGTTTCAGTGTGGCATCTCCAGCTTCGAATCTTTTGCCAAAAATGAGAGATGAGACGATGTTGTAATGACTTGTTTTTATCAATTCATCAATATTGAAAGGCTGGCCTCCAACATTTTCTGCGTTTTTAATAAAATCTAAGACTTCAATGGCTGCACGGGATTCTAGATCTGAGTTTCCAGAGTCTATGTGTTGCAACGTATCTTGTACGAATTTTCTCTGAATACACCAAACTTGTCCATACGCACCAAGTATACCTAGATTAGAGTATGTTTATTGACTGTATGTTCAATTCATTCTTTTATACAGTAATAATATAAAAATATAACAATAACTGACATAAAAGATGATTATACAGTATTTAAGAAAGAACATAGACATATATATATAGACGAAGATACTATACCTGGAATATATGATATTTGATAACAAATTTGATTAAATGCTGTAAATTTTAAAATTTCAAAACATATAAAGTTTGAAAAAGGTCACTTAATTTAGGAGTAAATTCATTTTTATTGTGCTCTAAAATCATATTTAACTCTACAGACCTGAACTTTCGAAATTTTCTGTGTATCCATACACAACCGGATGTTCTGAACTGTGTTTTCCACTCTTCACCAGGATCTCATCTAACGTTTGATGACCACACACTACGATTATGGTCTGTCCAAACATGTTTAATGTGAACAAGTCGCCATGTTTTTGCCACAAATTCCTGAAACATTTTTTTAACTGTTTTGTTAAACTGCCATTGATGCATCATTTGTTAATACTGATTTAGAAAAACAAGATTACTGTTTAGTAATTCACGTTATCTACTATTCCTGGGGTCTTACAAAATCACAGGAATCTCAGGTTTAAAACCAACGTTGCCTAATAAGGGATAGCCTGGTTCCTGTGGTGGCAAATTAATTTGGCTTCGGCTAAACATGTCTGAAAAAGCATTACAAATAAACCAATTTCTAACGAATACTGATATAATTTTCATTTACATACATGTATATCAAAAATCTTTTTCTGGTCAAATAGTCAACATTGCTAAAAACACTTACAGCATAAACAACCGCCATGGGTTTAATTGAATGTTTAATAAACGCAAAACAGATTAACTTTTAGCAGTATGCTTACAATATCACCAATCAAATTTACAAAAGTGTGCTCAACATTTTAAAATAACATATTGTTATGAATTTACATGGGCCTGGGCCTTGTGCCATCCATTGTTTTCACGTATGATTATTATTTTAGTTAACATGGATATTTACACATTACTACGGAGTGTAGATACCATATTTCAAGTGATAATATGTGTTTTACTCCAATTTATTTATAATAATTCGCTTTGATTGAAAGCGAAAGTAGAAACATGCCGTTTCACAATGAGAATGTGTTGTTTACATTCATTCGGGATGTTGTTCTCGATCCTTGTGGCATTAAATATGTGTCATTACACACAGCAGTGATTACCTGTGTTTATTATAGACGTTTTACCATCGATCAGAAGCGATATTTTATCCATAATCCATATTTACAGCTCTATTCAGACTATTGTGCTTCGATTTCCCTCCAAGTTTCATTACTTCTGCTAGAAGTTTCGCACGCGCTGCTTCGGTTGTTAGCCGCTCGCTGATTGGATAACGACGTAGCTCTTCTGTGTATATAAACAGAGAGGCTCGCTGAAGGTGCAGATTTTACCAAAAGTACAGTTAGATTACGGAGGTTAACCTACAAGTATAATGGCCCAGAAGGTGTCGCTTAATAACCCTTCTATATTACAGAAGGTGAATATTTTCTAGTAATAGTGTGCACCTTCTCTAGTTACCAGAGTTTCAGTATATTCTCCTTCCGTAGTTCTGTTTACCTTAGCAACGTCTGCTACGCCCCTTCATTTCCATACAGTTGCACCTTCGTATCCAGAGTGGTGCACCTTCTATTTTTACACCTTCCCTACGAAACCAGGAAGTTCCAAATATCGCGTTTGTTTTATGTATACTGAGCAAAATAAATTTAGCAATTGTTTTTCCATAGGTATAATTTTAAAAATATCTATCAAAATTCTTTTATTTTGTTTCTCCTTAAAATCAATATAGAAAAAGGTAACAAAACACACACTTCTTTTTTTAACTAGACGCGCAGAAACCGCGTCGTCCAACGTTGTGACAATTCAACAATACAAAAGGTTACGCTCGAACGCACATGGTCCAGGAAGAATTTTTTACTTGAAAAGCCCTTCGAGCACGCTTATAAAAGAAAACCGGTGAAAAATTTCAAAAACGTCAAATTGGGAAACGTCCAGGACTTTTCAAAAATGAACGTCGAACGACTATAGAGATGCTAACACCGGTTGCTCACAAAGAAATGTCGCTGAACATTTTCTTGTGCATCCGTTCACCATATGTTGACTTTTAAACCGATCCCGGACCACTTGACATGTTAGTAATTGTCGGTGCTCAGAACGTCCACGAAAAACAACGATTAGGCAAGATCAGTTTACTGTTACAACGTCGAGACGTAACCGTTTCATGACTGCTTCTAAAGTTGCAGACGAATTATGCCGTGCAATTGGACTGAGGATATGTGGGCAATGTGTAAAAAACCAGCTAGGTTTAGCAAATCTTCGAGCTCGAAAATCTTTTATACAATAAATTATTATATGTTTCTTTTACACAAAGACTTTCTCTTGTTTTGTTGACTGTCAAAAGGTACAGAGCCCACGTATTATTACCGTATAACGGGTATTTTCTGCGGTTGTCGAATTTTTGCGGAATTTTGCGGATGGGACAAATCCGCAAAAATTACAATCGCAAAATATTTTTTTTCAATATTTCTTCAGATATATATTTTATACATGCAAGTATGATAAGTGGTGCATATGTCACAGGATTCTCATTAACGCAAGAACCTGCGTACTGGACGCAGCAAAATTATTTGGGACGCAAGTTCTTAAAAACGATGCGTCCTTAGACTCATGAGTGGACACGTCCTCGTTAGCAAGAAAATTCGGGTGTCATCGAAATTCGAAGATTTTAGATGTCAGGATTTGTCCAAAACATATTGAATCAAAACGTTCATGTAAATAATATCAATTTAATAAGTTTATACAAAAACATCTTTTCTTGTACCTATTTATTTTATACGGATATACATGTACATGTAAATGATTAAAAGAGATTTCGCAATTACTAGTCCAAACTCCGATAGCTGCAAACAACACATAGTAGCTTCTCTTTCTTTCTTTAACACTTGTTTCAATCTTGTGTTTTATCTTGAGACCATAATTACTGCTTGTATACACAATGTGGCTTGATTGTCTCGTGCATTTCACACAATGCAGACGACTGACAGGATTAGTTACGCCTCAATGCACATGGCACCTGTGATTGTATACGGTCAACTTTAGGTTACTTGATTATGTAACTGTTTGTTTGAGCTTAAAATATAAACACCAGGTTAATTTTGATGGCAATTAACTGAAAGTGAATTTTTAGAATATGGCTTGGATGCATTAATTATCTATATATTTAAATATTTTAATAGATCGCATAAAACGTTTGTTACAATGTAGAATAAAGATTTTTTTATTTTTGTTTGGGTGGACTGATACGGCAATAATTCATTTCAATTGGGACTCGACATAATTTTACAAAGACTAACCAAAAGATAGTAGTTTAATTAAGCTTAATAGCTCAATATCAGTTGTCATGCACCTTTGATCAATATGTCTCAATGAATTTATAAAACGTAAACATGACAGCTATCTGATAATTCCTAGAGTTTGGTGATCATACCCAGTAAATAATTTTTTGCGGTATAATGCAACCGCAGAAATTGAAAACGCAGAAATTAATTTGCTATCTTTTAGGGGTTAAATCGCAAAAATTTCCAACCGCAGAAAATACCCGTTATACGGTATAACGAAATGCTGTAGAGTACAGGAAAAGTAATTATTTATACAAGGTTTAGTACAAATATTTAGACACAGCATATTTTCGTTACAATATGATACACTGAAATCATGATGCATGAGTCATATATGTAACACATGTTCATTAAAATGGTTTCCCATGGGCCTGGGATACAGACACTGCCTACTCAGACCTATACTTATTTTTTTCTTAGACATCATTTTTGAATATCCCATTAGATCTTCAACAATACACACAGAAAAACAAATAGAGATCAATGAACTCCGTTACAATAGTCAGAAATAGGGAGCTGAAGCGAGGAAGGAAAACAGGATGGCGTTTTCCTTGGCTCGGTGTAAAATGTGGAGGATGAGGGCTCCAAAATAGAGTGTCAAAGAGTGCAAGGGGTAGAGCTTCTTGTGTCAATTTCAACACATTTGCCTATTTTATCTTTCATTCAGTTTTAAACCCTAAAACCTAATTGAATATGTCAAGACTTCATGAGTAAATCTGGGACTAAATTTTACTGATGTTTGGATGTTTTCCTTGCACTCAGTATCTGTTATCTAAAAAAATTTAAATCAGAAGCGCAGGCTGTATGCCCCCTTTTGTTTTTCATATCTAAATGTCATTTGTTGGATAGAATCTCATTTTGTTGTTTCTCGATCCTTTCAAAAGAAAATGACAACAAAGGATAATTTTAATTCTGTTTCTGTTTCATTCAGTCTCTCTTAAAATTTAATTTAATAGCAAAGGTGTTCCCCTTTTTACATGTGAAGGTCATAAATTGTGTCACTCTTTCCTAGCTGTTTCTCGTTAACATACTTCATAGAGTATTGTCAAATGATCTACACAAAATTAACAAAATTGAGTTTCGGCATCGTCTAGTTTAATTCAGTAAACTTCAAAGAGGTTATCTTTTAATTGTTTGGATAATGTGACATTCTAACAAGTTCTCACGGAAAATTAGAAATTAAGTTGATATATTTAATATGCAAGTGCTTAAATTACAACACGATTCTCCATCCCTTGCATCATCTTACTCAAGAGACTCCATCCTTGCACTCTGTAACACTCCATTTTGTAGACTCAATCCTCAGCATTTTACATCAAGCCATTTTCCTTTTTTTGTCCTAGACAAGTTAGGTGTGAGATAAAACAGGAACAGGGGGTAAATGAAGTTAAGATGGCCACCTTCCCTGTGTTGCTTTGTTACTGAATGATTTTATTTTCAAAATATTTTACACGCTCGGAGCATCTGCTGCGATATGAATGAAATTCATTATTTTGAGGTCAAATTTTTCTTTGCTTCCATTCAATCATTAAGGAATGAATTCAAATATCCAATGCCCTCGAGACTCGCAAACTACTCATTATAGAAAAAACGTTTTGTAGAAAACTAAAAAAATTTTAAAAAATTCTTAAAGCTCTATTTAGAGCCAGGTGTCATAATATAGAACCTACCTTTTTCTAACCCTAGCTGTCCTGTTTTGTTGCGTAGAATAGTAAGCAAGGACAAAGATATCCTTGACACGTTCTAATCAAACTGAAGAGATGATTACGATATCACATTCTGCATATTGTGCACGACTGTTGTATTACGCTGTAGCACACCAGCTTGTAAAACGAGTTCAGACGCTCTAAATAGTATTAAGGTCATATGCATATAATTAAACTGTTGACGAATGTGTGCAATGAAACATCAAATGCCTTTTTTACATTTATAATTCACGGTTAATGTACTTTTTGTTAATGGCATATGGTTCGTAACTCTTTCTCGATTAAAACATGATTGTGACGTAAACCATTTGTTTGTGTTGTTCATTCTATAGCCTATTGTTGAGATAACTCTCCAAACAATCCGTTAAGTTACCTGGACGTGTCCATTCTTTGTGGAAAACCGTCCATTCTTTTTTAAGAATGGACAGCTTTTTTTTCAAAAAGAATGGACAGTTAAAACAAACATAATGGAAGTTACAGGTACACTTTGGAATGTAAACCAAGAGGGAAACAAAAACAAATACATTAAATATGATTTATTTACATGTAAATAACAAACAAAAAACAAAAACAAAAAAAACGGAGATTTAAGTAAATCCAGAAAACAATGTCTGCACAACATCTGCTCGATTTTACTCTTTTAAATCCATGAATAATGCACATTATTTAAATAATCACAAAACTTGAATTTAAATGACACATTTTCACATTTGATTTAAATTTCGGAAACATCATTCCCTGGAGAAGAATCCATTTTAAGATCGAAGTACGGCTAATTTTAAATCCAGAAAACAGTTTGCACCATGAACACTACATTGCTGCAGTTAATATTTTCGTAGAAAATAATTAAAATTAAAACATTTCCAGATTGGATTTGTAATACGTTTTTAGGGCGAAGTTTGTCACATGACAAATCCAACACTTAGAACACAATTTGCATTTGCATCGATATATCCCGGTGAGCTTGAAATAAAAGATACCACAAAGTCTGACACATCTGTTTCATATTTGGATATTTTACTAGAAAAAGACGTTAATGTTAATCTAACAACCAAGCTTTATGATAAACCTGATGACTTTAACTTTTCAATCGTCAACTTCCCTAACTTATGCAGCGATATACCTTCATCACCTGCATACGGGGTTCACATCTCTCAGTTGATTCGATACGCAAGAGTATGCTCTACGTACGAACAATATCTAAAACGAAGTAAATTATTGACAAACAAGTTGATGAAACAAGAATATCAGCAGTCTCGTTTAAAGTCGTTATTTTGTAAGTTCTATGGTCGATACAATGACATGTCAGCAAATACAATTTATCAACAAGTCAAATGCTGACTGACGTTTTTAGTACATATTGTTAGACCATTATTTACACACTGAATTGTCGACGGATTTTTCCGTTATTTCCCGATCATGACACGGCGGTGTGACCGGTCGGCAGGGGATGCTCACTCCTCCATGGCACCTGATCCCACCTCTGATGTTTTAGGGGTCTGCGTTTGCTCTGCTCCAATATTTGTATTGTTTAATGGACTTTTGAGCTTGAATAATGTTCGTTATCTCCGTATATTTTATAAAATTGAATTCAAATAAAACATTTTCAGATTTGATTCGAATTTGATTATCAGCTGTTCTTTGTCGAAGAAAAAGTTCATTTTGGGGTCAAAGTTTTGCACATATTTTCTTAATTTTACTCCTACTATTCTCTTTTTACAGATCTGAATATCACTTGTTTTGTGCATCTTTTGGTTCATAATATTTTGATTCTGTCATATACTATCTCCATCGGAGAGAAATATGCTTGCCTTAATAACGCAAACTATGAACTTATTTTGAAGCATCGCATAAATACTGGTATTCCCCAAAATCCACCTGTATCTGTCCTTTCTTTACACAAAGACCTTTTGTTATTTGCAACTGGAAACACAATGACCATTCAACAAATTGATGTACACGCCTAGCTTACCCGTGACTGTCCTTTCTGTAAACAATGAACTTGTCATTGTATGTGCGCTACCTATCAAAATCAATTCTTAATATCTGATAACAGTTTTGTACATCTTTGTTTGATTCTCAGAAAAAAGAAAATTATGTTTTTAGTAGGAGAAAGGTTTCAAACTGACCATTCGGTGAGAGAAAGAACTCTCAAAGAATGGACAGTTGGAGGCCTTTCTCCTTTGCTAAAAAAAAATACACTGGGCACTCCTTGATTTCTGAAAAAAAAGAAAATCATGAAATAAAGTAGTGTAGTTTGGAGAGGTCGTACACAGAAGCTAGATATAGCATCACAAGAGCAAGACATAGTTTTGCATGATTGAATTGGAGTATTTTAAAACAGATTGTGAAGCAGGTTTTCTGTTTCATTCCTTGTGTTGTTGTAGGATTTGATCACGTGACTAACAGTATGTCATATCACGATGAACTCCAAAAATGATATCCTATTTCTTAATCGGCCATTTTTTCAATAACTTCAATTCAATTTCAATTACATTTTAATTAATTTACATAATACATACATGTACATGAAATCGCCATCACAGTCACATTTTACTGTCCCTTTATCATTACAAACATCTCCACTATTTATATTGTTCAAATATTAAGCTAATATTTATATTTTTTATAAAATGGTTTTCACATTTTGGTTTGATTTTAATAATTTTACTCTTTTATAGTCAGAATTTCATAAGCTTCAAGTTTACCTTTTTTAAAAACAACAATGACTATCATTATGTTTTATATAGATTTTTCTTTCTTTCTTTTTCATTTTTTATATATTTATTCATTTATGTATTTATTTATTCATTTATTTATTTATTTATTGCTTATTCATTAAATTAAAAAAAAAACTGGAATTTATCATTAAGACCTCTCTTCTCGATGAAAGAGATAGATGCCCTCCAAATCACGGAAGGGACAAGAAGCATACAGTTTTCTGAAAACTTTTGACGAAGGACGATTCCTATGACAGAGCGAATTCGACAGATTCCTGATTGTTATTTCATTTACCTTGAGCTAATTCGTTTATCTTGATCCCAAAAATACATTTAAATCTGTACAAGTCCGTCAGCTCGGGCATGTTTTACTTGTATAACTCGCAAAGTTATAAAATATCGGAAAGACGATTGTAAACTTTACGTGACCGTAAATCTTTAATGTGTGTATTAGGCTTGTAGTACAAAACTCCTACGCATCCCAGACACACGGACAAATTGATTCTTATGTGTGTACGTGGTACGCAAGGGACACAAAATTTGAGCTTAGAGGGGAATCAGAATGGAGTATGTCGCTTTCTTATGCAGTGTCTGCTTATCATGAATTCCCTCACGAAGAGACTGAATTCCTGCCATTTGAAACTTTTGTAAGGATGGCTAGTACATGGACACATAGATCAACATGACCAACACAGATTATTACCCAGTAAATGGCTGGAAAGGAGAGATTCTAGACGTATGTCGCTCTTAGCGAAGATGCGTTATAAACATATTCTTATGAACCTAACTCATGACTCTCTCATATGGAGACGCCACCATTTGCCGGTGGAGAGCTGCAAATTTGACATATACTCTGCACTTAGAGCCGCTGAGCAGTGAGGGAACTTTTTCGTGCCGCGCACCTACTGCGACACGGGATCTCGGTTAATACGGTCTCATCAGAAGGACCAGTCTCCACGTTCTGCTGTGGGATTCGAACCCACGATGTAAGGATCAACACCTTACTCTGCGACTCTAGAGCAGACGCTCTAACCACTGCGCCACGCGGGCGACTTTGGTGCAAGTTACATTCAAATAGAATTCGGAGACATTTCCTTCAAATTGAAGTTTTGACATTTATTGTGAGTTGCAATATACATTTCTTCATTTATTTGAACAATTACAAAATGTCAGTTTTTAATTTGTGTCTGTGACTTGGAATACATATTTCATTACATTGTGAAACAGGTTGAATCCATTGCTTTGAAATTTTTATTTGTGTCTTTGCTTTGTTTTCTTAATCCGATAACTTACCTGTACCCGTCCAATAAGTTATTTAATACTGTCCATGATTTTAATAATGGACAGATTTTTTTAACTTATTGGTCAGTTACAGGTAATTTATTGGACTGTCTTGGACCTTTCAAAAAATAGAAAGTATTAAAAGAACAAAAGATGATGTCATCCTTATGTTTTAAATCAATTTATTTAATGAAGTTCTATCAAAATTTGTAAATCTATTTTCATGTAACTAGAGTTTTTCAACTGATCCATTGCTACCCCCTTCTGTCCATAACCGTAGTATACATCACCAAAGGACAAGGTATGGTAATGGCCAAATCTTGCCCCTTATTTGATGTAAAAATCAGAACACAGTTAAAACTGTGATTGTTTGTAGTTAAGAACTTAATATGATGCTTGTTTTAAAACCAGCACTGATTTTAATTCAAAGCTTACACAGAGGTCACAAGAGGGTGCAGAAGTGGGACATTTTCCCTAATTTCCTCAATTCTGGTGGAATTTCATCAAATTATAGATACTTTCACTTCGGGAAACTTAGAGCACAAGCTTGCCTATCTAAGATTTTTATACAAAAGATGCATCTGATGCTAATGTATGAAAAATAGAAATTTGGTAGAAAAGCAAGCTTGTGCTCTATGTTTTCTGAAATAAGATATGCTGTAAAATTGAAGGAAAAAAATGCATAAGAATGAGAAAACTCAGAAATTTGACATATTTTCTAACCTTCCTGTGACCTCTGTGTATACTATAACTTAGAACCAATACTCATTTGTGGCAGGGGTGACAAAAGGTTTTTATTGATTAAATGTTGCATCATTCTAAAAGACACCCCAAACCAGGGGCGAAAAGGGGGTCTTAGCCTTCAGGCCTCTATGTGACCTCTAAAATTTAGGCGCCAACTGGTTCCTAATCAAAAATATTTAGTCGCCAATGCAAATTTTTAGTCGCCAGGCAAATTTTTCTTAGGCTCCAATTTTAAATCTGATATTAGTCATTCTATAGAGACTTGTCAATTGCTAACTTTTAAACTTCTTTTCTACTCTTTATAAAATTTGAAATTTGACGACCACCAAGTCAATTTAAAATG